GAGGCCATAGATAGGCCTAAATAAAATGTTTTTTTAATTGTGTACCAGTTTAACATTGAATATTATTTATGATTTTAGGTAAATTCAAGTTACATGTTCTTTCTCTACACCTGTTTTTGACTTGACTCTTATATGCAGTGTATCCCCTTTACATGAAGGCTTATTTTTCTTGGCTGCTGACCTACAGACATCACTGGTCAGAGTGATTTGTGCTGTTTGACCTCAGACCATTTTCTCATTCTATCTCCCTCAGACCAGTTTTCTGACCCAAGACATTGTCAGACAGGAAAAGGGCTTATTCCTTTTCTTCAACTCATCTGCTCACTCAATTCTTTCTGTATGCAATCAGATTTTGATCTTGGACATGTTCAGTGAGGGTTTTGAAGATTTTGTTTTCTGCACTTATACCTTTAGAGATATGAGACAACACTTTATTCTGGGCTCTCTCTTTGAGGCAAGGTATTTTCTGTGAGTCACATCTACTCAGATTTCTCTTTTCTATAGTCTTAGCAGCCTGGTTGAATTCCCCACTGGAAGTCACTGTGCCTATGCAGTAGCCTACTCGTAATAACTATTCAGATTGGTTGGGAAGTGAGGATGAATGTTTATAATTTTAGACTGGATGAGTTCTGTTCCTTTGGTTGAGTGAGGCATACATGATCCTGTCATTCCGAGCCTGGGGTGTTTTGGGCTTCTTCAGGTGGAGGAGACGGTTTGTCTGCTTCGGGATTGCTTACTTTCTTGTCGTGATTCTGGTGGTTCAGAAAGCAGCACTCTGTGGCTACAGGTTAGGATCCAATCAAAAGTATGTCTATATATATAACACTGTGGTCCAATTGCCCTAGCCACCAACATGGGATATAGGGACCAAGATCTCTTAATTCCATCCCTGAGTAGTGGAATCTCGGCTATCTGGATTGAACTGGCTTATAGTGATGATCACTCATGTACAATTCCATCCTTGATACAGGAACTAAGTTCAGAGTGAAGAGCATAACTGTTTTGGATGTAGTACGGTTCCTCCACTCAGGTACCACTCTTATCTTGGTACACCCATGAGCTATGCAGATACTTTCTGTATGGATAATGTCCTGACTGGCTTTTCCACCTTCTCAATGTGGGATTCTAGCTGTAAGTGTCAGTGGAAATAAGTATGTTTGGGAGTTAATATTTTTCTAATAATACTTACCTCTATCAACACTTTCCTGCCCTTCCTCTCCATTATCCTTTCAGGTGGATACTTGTCCATGGTGAGGAGACCTCCCAGGGTAGGTTCTGTTTACAGTTTACCTCCTCTGGGATCTGAACATCCACCCACATGTTTGCTCTGCCTGGCAACTCGTGAAGGACAGGAAAGGATCCTGGAGGTTGAGTGGTGTGTGATGCACTGCAACACACTACTTTGGCCTTGAATTCCTGAAGATGGGTGGCTTTGGGGTGGCCCCCCCCAGGATCTATTGGCTGGTCCTATTGGGCTAGAGTCAACTGAGTACCTAATGTTGGGCATTCTTAACGGGTATTATGGACATTGTCTGATTCTGATATTTATGTATATTGCTCATGAAATCCTGGCCTTGCTGCAGTGTCCTTGTTTGGCATTATAGTGCATCCCCTTGTAGGACTCCATGGTGGGTTGGGTGAGTGGGCACTGAATCATTCCCCTTTTAATGTGAATCTCCCAAACCTTAAAAAAAAAAACATGGTTAATTGGTAAATGACCATGTCTTGATGACTCTGATAAGCAATCTTCAACCCATTCTGAAACCATACCTTGGTTTTTTAATCCTGCATTCCTTGTAGGACAAACCTTTAGTGCAAATGTCTCCATTTTTTATTTAGAAGGGATTAGAGGGACTTGCTGGTTCACCAAAGTTTGTCAAGAAGCTACATTCTGGGGACATCTTGTGGAAACATCTACCCCAAAATATGATGAACTACTCTTGAATTTGAAGGTCATTGGGGATACACCCATTTAGGTTACTCCCCATGCTA